TTAGAACGAGTCATGCAAACCTCTCAACATGCTGACAGGACAGCTCAAGTGTGATATAGTTTTTATTTTCCACATTTCAGAGCAATGGATGTTTGGAAATCTTTAGAAAGACATTTTAATTCTGGGAGATTAGCTAATAGAAGAAAAAAACGTTGAGTTGTAATTGTCAGTCACAATCTGGCACAATAATCAGGGTTAGCGTTAAATCATGCAGGTCCCCTTTTCGGGTTATGAGAACAGATGGCTGTTCACCCCAAGGGTGGGAAAAAAATGGAATTTGGTGTGAAAGCCATCCGAACAGACGAGCTTAATTTTATTTATTTATTTGTTTGCTGTCCCTGGAGGGGTTTCTGTGTGGTTGCCTTTTATGTTTTAATTTGTACATGTTGTTTTCTCTCAAAATATTAATTTTTAAGACTGAAGTCTGTTTGATTGCTAATCGCTGTGATTACATTAAGGCAATTTAAAAGGTTCATAACATCGGTACAGTTTATAGCTGCTCTCATAGGGAGTCTCCCACAGTGAGCCATATTCTCTGTTTTTGCAGTGCGATTGAGACGAGCTGTATTTATTTTGGTAATGAGCACTCCATGCGAATATAGCAAGGCGCAGCGGAACAAGTGTTGGAGGGATTGTGAATTTATTTTGATACTCCACTTTTTGACTCATGGGATACATTTGTTTACCTCCCTTCTGTCTGCTGTGCTGTCTGTGCCTCTTTGTGTCTCTAAAAGTGGGACATCAGGACAGGCGAGGTGGTTCAGGAGTACGATCGTCACCTGGGCGCCGTCAACACCATCACCTTTGTTGACGAGAACCGTCGGTTTGTCAGCACATCAGACGACAAGAGTCTTCGAGTTTGGGAGTGGTAAGTACCGAGTGCAGCCTGAACTGCTTATGCCATAGTTGAAACTTGAGAGTGCCGCTGTAGTTGTTGCTGCTGTTCTTCCAAGCAAGTCATGTAATCCTCCTCCCTAATGCTCTGTGTTTAATAACAGAAGACTGTAGCTGATATTGGCTTGGAGAAATCAATCAACAATATAAATGTAAAGGAAGAAGGAAGGGAACCAGTGTGGACTATAATTAAAAAACGAAACAATCAGGAGTTACAGACAGCTGGGTATTCAGTGTAATTTTGAGCTGTGCAAGTATTAGCTCTGGATTGTATTTTTTTTAACTTTGTTATAGGCTTGTTAAGATGCACCTTGGGCACATCAAGTGCTTTTATATATTATTGTTCTTCTGTGATGAGCAGCCCAGGAGCAGACACGGGGGATACATATTATAGTGTTTTACGAGATTCCTTTTATATATGAGTGTAACTAACTAAAACGATGTGAATTAAATGATTTGTAATGTGTATGTGCTGGGATGACTGGAAGGTTTAAATCCCACTTTTGGGAATGCTGCAAGAAAACATGAATTTTAATGACAAAATTAAAAATGTCTATATCTCGCTGTTTGTAATTGTTTGGACAACCAAAAGACCACCGGGAAGGGTATGTACACTGGCAGGGGTGTCCTGTCATGGTAAACAAACTCAGCTATTTGCTGTTTATAGATAATAAATATTTAAAAACCACCAGATAAACAAAGCTTTCCATGGAATGCTTCAAGGGGAGGTTTTTGTATCAAGGGCAGCCATTTGTGTTTAGTTTGGTTTAATTGTCAAAACTTCCTCATGAGCATGTGAGATGGATTATCTGCTTAAAAAAGTGTTTTGCACACTTTAAGTTAATGTGAAAGACCGAATTAAAGATAAACGCAACAACAACAAGCTAAAGAATTAAATCCTAAGAGTCTGCTTTGGGCAAACTTCGGGCTCTCATGAGCTTTTTTTAGTGCCGCGTGGGAGTAAGCGGGCAAGTGGTATGTCAGGCCAAAAAGTGACTTGACGGTCCCGCTTTCTCCCACGGATACCACCTGGCTCTAGTCCCCCTGCCCCACTCTCCCTGTGAGAGCTGCATTAGGCTGGATTTACAAGAATAGTCTCATGTTGCAAGAATAGAAGCGGCGTCTAGCAGAGAGGAGCATGTTGAGAGCACGCGGAATAGACTGTGAGGCAGCAAATCCACAAGCCATTCACGTCATAGTGAAAACGCCTACACGCAATTTAAATTCTGTCCACGTTCTCACACATAGTGTTCCCAGGGTGACTACTTTATCTATAGCAGAGGTTTGTCATCAGGAGAGTCTGTGAATGCTTTCCAGGAGGATTACAATTGATTCAAAATGTACCAAACTGCACCAACAAGGGGAATTAACTCTTGATCATAAAGACATCATGTAGAGAGCGATGAAGCCCACGGGGACACTTGGAATGATAATAAAACGAGAGGGAAAAGGATAGCGGGAGATAAGTGGTGGAGACTGTGGAAGCATATTGTAGGAATCACTCAGGATGGTCAAAGAACTGCTACAGCCTCCCCAGAACTTGATTTCTTAAAAAGCCTGCTTTTTTAGAAGCGACCGATTTATCTCAGCTTAATAAAACTCCCAAATCGGAATGTTCTTAGAATAATTTGGAAAGGGAAACAAATGAATAAATGAATAAAATCTGTCAGTGCTTATTTTGTGAAACCATCCTTCGTTTCAAATTAGCACATATAATGAGGTAAATTATATTATAGAAATCTGAAATTCAGACCCACTGAAGTAGTGTGTCTAAAAACAAAGTGTGGGTTCTTAGTTATGGAGTTTAGTTTGGCTTGACTGCAGATTCTGGCTTGAACAAACACAGAAGCTCCTTAATCTCTGACCGTGTGGCGGTCGTGCAGCCCCAGCTGTCACTCGTCACAGAAAGAAACAAGGACGTGGTTTTAGTAATGCTGATGGCAAGCTGAGTTTAGGACTTTGCTTTATTTTACAGCAAGTCTCAGCAAATTGGCACGCTGTCATCCTGACAGACACACATACATGCACTGTACATTTGAATGATCTTCTTCAGACAAGTTAAGATCAAATAGCCAAGTTTGCTATTTCTCCCAAAGCAGAGAGACATAGCAGAGCATAAAAGAACAGCGAGGCCGGGTGAAGGAGCAAAGGAAGGTTTCATAAATAATTGGTGGCTGGTGCAGCATCAAAAGCATCTTTCACATTATTTACAAGATTTATTTATTTACTGTAGCACTAATGGTGATACAGCCTGTTTGTTTTTTTTTCCTTCTTTACGTCCACCACAGCTCTTCTCTCTAGTAAATAAGCAGTTTTGAGCTGGCATAAGCACCTTCAATGTCAAACAAACAACAGCTCTGTCGATGTTTTCCCCTAGAGCTGTTATTGCTTAGGGCCTTCTCACGTTATTCTCATCCACCGTTTAACCTGTCTTCAAGTGTACTCACAGTGTTTTGTGCCTTTTTCAGGGACATCCCTGTGGACTTTAAGTACATTGCTGAGCCCAGTATGCACTCCATGCCAGCTGTGACTCTCTCTCCCAATGGTAAGTAGACTAATCATGGCCAAACGCTCATAAACACAGTCAAGGACAGGCGACTTGAGGGAGCATAAACCTGCATTACCACACTGAAGTAGAGTCACACCTTCTGAGATTTGCCATCGCTCAGGCAAGGTGGGGAAAACAGATATTCTCAGTGCAGTAAGTTTGTTGTAGGTGGAGATTTCTGCTTGCCATGAGATCCAGATTTTTTATCAATACATGTCAGCTGTCTGTGTTTCCAGTTCTGTGTTTAGCTCTGGCTGTTTAATCATCACAGATAATGCATTAACTGTTGGATAACAGAAATATTTGGACACTTGAGTGACTTAAACTGTGTACATTTGATGTCAAAACAAATGTTTAATATTTGAGCAATTTTGCCTTTTGGATATTAGAGCAGTAAGATTAGACAGGGAAGTGGGGCGAGGGGACAAGAGAAGACACACAGGGCCATGGGTCGGACTCAAACCTAGGACCTGTTGCCTGCTCTATCAGTGAGCTACACTGGCACTCAATGCTATTTATTTTTAAGATGAACAGCTGTATGACTGTATACTGTCAGTTAGCATACCGTCGTGTGAAAAAGAGGGCTTTCATAGGACTCAGTGCAGCTGCCATGTTTATTTTAGAGACAAGTCTTTCTTCGGGCAGCCCTTCCAAACAAGCCACACTTGTTCAGTCCCTCTTTCTAATGGCACTGTAATGTTTTCCACTTTTTCATTGTGGAATTATGGACTTCAAATCAATTTGGCCTTATAACCCTCCCAAACTGATGGGGAGCAAAAATGTGTTCTCTAAAGTGATTGTTGATGTCTTTCTTCACATGAGCAAAGCTTTTACTTCTTTGATAGTAGAGATTTAGGTCAGGGTTGTACGACCCCGTTATAAGCCTGTAATTTTTTTGTAATTGCTGAATTTTACATTTCTTTTTGTGTAGAGTACCTTTACCATGCCTTCATGCAGTGCCGCCAGATTTCAGAGCAGTATCACTCTGTGAGATCCATATATCCATTCATATTCTTACCAATTGCCGAGGTTATGGTACTCTTACCTGTGCTGTAAATAAGCTGCAGCCAGGAAATGTTATGTTGATTAGACCCAGATAACAAATTTTAGATTGCATAATAGGAGTGGGCAATAAAAGCCTCAAAATTAAATCACAGTTATATCAAGAAAATTTGTAATAATGTTATTGCTGTGGTCTCACTTCATAAGAGAATTTTTCTATAAATTACTCAGGATTTTTTTTTAAATTGTAACATTTTATCTGTGATTGCAGCCTGCAGGCAGTAGCATTTGTAGTGCAAACTAAATAAAGGGCATTTTTAATTTTTGTTTTTTCCAAATGAGCTACAGCCATTGATGAAAGAATTTAGTAAATCTATTACTACATGGTGCCAGCAGCATAGTGTAATAGGAGATACAACATGGATCAAGTATTACCACAAAAGTAGCCAAGGTAATATTTTCCACTGTGATTTTTTTTTTTCTTGATCAAGACATTTATTTGTTTTTATAATATAAAAGTGATCACATATAACCAAAAATGTGCTCTGATCACAGGATAAAAGAAAAAAAAGCATAACAGTCAGATCACACAAAAGAAAAGAAAATGAATAATGAAAGCCACTTATTCATCACACATCTTTTGCTTCTATATTTGACACCAAAGACAGAAAACAGTTTAATAGATCCTTTTTTTTTAAGCAGTGCATCTTTTTTCCCCTCCCCAAGTTGTATAAAGTATCTGATGTCACTAATACTCTGCCCTTCCATTTGTGAAGATGAACCTTCCTGCCACAAAAGGCTGCATTTGGGGTAACAATGAAATATTATTTTCCAATAAATTTAGAAAACCTCTTATGTATTGGACATGAGAAATTGGATAATTTGGGACATAACCAAAACATATGAGCATAAACATGTGCTCTAGCCCTCATGCCTGGGCTTGTTGTAGGGATGTAGACGCATGATCACAAAATTTAACAGATGAAGCATAGCTTGTTAAAGCTGGCCTGTTAGTACAGGATTAACTTTGGCTGGTAGTCATTCGTTTCCAGGACTGTCCTTGGTTGAGCTGCTTCTCTCCACTGCTCCCAGTTTCACCCTGTGTGTCTGCTTGAATGTGTCTGTTCTGTGTGTCAAGCTCTTCCCCACACATGGAGCAGAACCTAGCAGAGGAGAATCTGTCCCCCACCCTAGTATATCACACGACCATTTTGTATCCATGGAAACATCTCCATTGTAATTTATGTAATATCTCTGTAGGCAACCTACAAAAGCCTTTTTTTTTGTCCTCATTTGTTCTTTTCCTTTCTACATTTTTTCCCCCCCAGTTTTTAATTTTTTCTCTCCTCCTGTTCTCTTCGTACTTGCCTTCTTCCTTTGGGCAATATTCGTATTTGTTCCAGCGTGGTTTGTTTATCTTTAGCATGTGAATAATGAATGAGCTCTCAGTGGGAGACCATTCAGTTTTCTCTTAAGCCTAAATGGCACCCAGCCCCACTTGGCACCATATATACAACAACCCCCCCTCTCTGCTCTTCCCCATCTCTTTTTCATGTTGACTAAGCAGACAGAGCTCCAGTACGCTGCTGAAATTGGTCAAGTTGTTTTCATTTTCCTGCACTTATTCTATTTGACATTTGCTGACAAGTTTTCTGGGGGTGGTGTAAAAAGAGGACACGCATACCAGAACTACATTTCTTTGTCAGATCGAATCGGTAATTTCCTCATGTACACTTTTAAAAAGTGCGGAGAATTGTATTATGCTTCGACACTAAAGCACTGCCTCTCACCATCGCGCAGTGATGTTGAAACTGTTGGAGTGTCAGGGGCTGAAATGCTCTCTAAAGCAGATCTCTGCTGAGCAGCCACTGATGCAAAACCTCTTTTTATTTTTTCCTTAAATTGCCTCAATCTTTCCAATTCACTGATGGCAGAATGATGAGTTCATGCCCTTTTCAAAGGGCTGTCCACTTCAATCCAAATTTCCAGTTTTGCTGTTTTGAAGAATTTTGGCCATGAGGCAGTTTCTACCATTACTGTGTACCTGCTGTTAGTTAATGTCCCTCCAGATCACAGTTTTTGCACTGTCAGGTTTAGCGCATGCTAGCAGTGGAAGATATCATCAAAATACCGCACTGAAGATCTGAGGGGCTGCTTGTTAAACACTTGGCTGTACAGAATCATGCAAATAATGCATTTAAAAGGTTTGGGGACAACTTTTAAAGTTTATATGTGTTTGAATTTGAACTCAAACATTACCTTGAAATTTCACTGTGAACATCCAAAAAATGCTTTTGTTTTCTCTTTGGTTTTTTGTGTTATCAAGGGCACAAGTGCTTTGCAGAATAGTTGGCCAATGGTTTATTGTTTTGTTTTTTAAGGTAAATGGCTTGCCTGTCAGTCCATGGACAACCAGATTTTGATCTTTGGAGCCCAAAACCGCTTCAGACTAAACAAAAAGAAAGTCTTCAAGGGTCACATGGTAGCTGGCTATGCATGCCAAGTGGACTTCTCCCCAGACATGAGGTAAGCCTTCACAATGTCACTCTGAAGGGCAGTTTTATTCTACCAGAAACCACAAAGTAGAGATGCTTAAAGCTTTAGAATATTCCACTAGTAAATACTAAACAGTACTTATGAATAGAAATTTACTATTAGTGTGATGGGTGAATTAAAAACTGGGTCCAAATGCACCATTCTGCAGATGATCAGTACATTGAGGTACCTTTGCTTGTATTCTGTAAGCTGTTTCTCATCCTGAGCTTTAAAATGCATCCAGGTAATGAAGCACTCTTGGCAAAAAACACCCCATACAGCCATCACTAGGAGAGCTCACAGGATATCGTCCTATTTTTTTTTTACACAAAATGCCCATTAAGACCCTTTTTTGTCCCTCTTCTCACCCACCACCCACGACTGTGAGCAGGTGCCCTCACTTCCTTTCAGTATCCATGGCAACATTGCAACCCCTGCCTAGATTAAATACCAAAAATTCCAACTCTCACCTTTTGGCTGCTGAAGTGAAGACAGAAGTTATTTCTTTATTTTTATAACCATGTGCTAATTATGAAACACGTTTCTTTCTACCAGTTATGTGGTGTCAGGAGATGCAGATGGAAAGCTGAACATCTGGGACTGGAAAACCACCAAGCTTTATCACAGGATCAAGGCTCATGACAAGGTGTGCATCAGCGCCCTGTGGCATCCACATGAAACCTCCAAGGTCATCACCTGTGGCTGGGATGGACAGATAAAACTCTGGGATTAGATCTGTCCCTGAGGAGCGGTTTCTGGAAATAATGGACATGACCTGACTGGCTCAATAAAAAGGAGGAGGCCAATTGTCTCATGGTCTGGAACTGTTTTTGAGTCAAAGCCAAAAGACTGGTATCCAGTCTGATTGTACAGGTGTATTTGTTTTTTACCCTGTGAAAGATCAAAATACTTAGTCATGTAATATCTGTACAAACAAGCATATATACTTTCAAAGGATTGTTCCTACTGCAGAAGAAGTATTACAGGGGGTACCTTGTTATTTTTAATGTTTCTTTTTTCTTCTTCTTTTTTTTGTTATTGTATTTTCCAATGTTCTGGTAGTATACCTTTCATATTCTTGATAAAATATATTCTTTGTTTTCAGCTGTAAGGCCATCTCTTTGTGGAAATAAACAACCTAAAGTCTACCTTTTCAAAAAACGAAGCACTCCTTCCTTTGGGGAAAAACCCCCCAAAGTGTTTATTCTTTAAAATCAAAATCATGAGGAGAAATTCAGTTCATCATCAAAAGGTTTGGTACATTTCAATAACTGAATAATGTTGTTATTTGAAAGTGTTACTTTTCCTGATTGTTGGCAGTGTTGCGGTGCTGAACAGACAAATGCCAGCTGAACATGAGGAAGGGAACTGATGGTGTAAAATTCTTATGTGTGAATTGTTGGAGTGGGAGTTATTCTATTATAATTCAAGAAACTGGAATTACAGTTGTTTTTCTCTTGCACAAATATCCACGTTTAAATAGCCAACAAGCAAACTCTGTACGAGTGTACAGTCCCATTTATCACATTGTCATGCTGTGATGATGCATGGAAACTACTTCAGGAGCAGATCCCGTCTCTTTCCCGCCTCCTTAAAATATTCACTCACTGTCGGTGACCCTGTAACGCTGTATCCGCTTCCTTGAATTCATAATTTAGCTCGTGAGCTGCGTGGTCTCTGGACTTCTGCTGTCTACTATCGGGTAGGACCGCCTGGCTTTGGGCCAGGCTTAGATAGTACCTTGATGATTTTGACTGTGACTTTCCTGCAGCCAATAATACAGCCACTATGAGGTAGAACACAGAGCCTCTGGAGGTAATTATGCTGCTCCTTTACTTGGCTTAGGTCATCGCAGGCCAGCAGAGGATGAGCGGGAGGATAAGTAGGAGCAGAGATTTTTACTTTTTTTTTTTTCGAAGGTCGGGCCAGATAAGAGCAGTGTATTTGAAGAGCGCTGTGCCCCAGAAAGTCCATGTTACACATTCAGACTTCCAGTTATCAGCGACGGTAAAAAGTTATTTTTGAGTTCTATCTGGTTTCCCTAAAGGCCTCCACTGAGTATTCACCCAGCTCAAGGTGTAAGCACTGCTGGCATTAAGCACATTCTTCTGTAGAAAAATGTGAGGTTTGGCAGGATCGCTGTGGATGTGGAAGAGGTGGAAGCCGGAGCGTTCAAGCTCCTTCAGCAGGCTGTACCAGTACCGCACCACAGATGGCTCATCGCCACCCACCTCAAAGCCTGCCCAGTGCAGGTGAAGCTCCAGCAGCAGCTGTCCCACTGAGTCCAGAACTCTTTCGAGGATCAAATTTTCCAAAATCTTCCATTCTGCACTCTCCATGTCTGCCTTCAGTACATCCACCTGAAACAGAACCAGGAAAACTTCAGATTTAAATGCATCTTGTTTAGCTAATAAATGACACCAAGCTGCATGGAGTTCTTACACGCAAAAGCTATTAAAAGATGAAAAGTGAAGCTTGATTTTGTTCTGCGCCGGTGATCTTGATGATGGATTGAGTGAAAGAGCAGCCTGACAAGACTTGCTGTGATAGAGCAGGGAGGAAATGCTTCAAAAGATGAATGTTAATAGCACCCTTAGGTCATATTCATGTAAGGGCATTCATGCATGCTGAAAGTTTTATGCATATCCTCAGGACACTGGGCTTCCTCTCAGGTCTAGTATAGCAGATAGTCTTTCAGGCTCACTAGTATCTCGTAATTTTCTCAGGAAGTCCATCATGTAGCCACAGTCAATAATACATTAACCAAAGAAAATATCAGGGATTAGTGCATTAAAGAGTCTTTCCTACAAAAAACAAACAGGCTGATAACATTTCTTGAGCTAAACTGTAAGTGTCGGGTGGTATGGCAGCATATATATTAAACAAGCTCCTCTCCAATTGATGCATTTGCAACACCACACAATATCCCCAGACCTCATTAGTGTAACTGAACGGGATTCAAAAACAACGGTGGCAAAATATCGTCCTCTGTCCTCCCCATCATTGTCCCTCACTCCCACAAGCAGAAACATGATTTTTTTTTTTAATTGGACAAAAATCATGTGATGGAAAATGATGAGACATCGCTGAAAAGGAATGCTAATGTAGTTTTAATCTGCTTGTGTGTGTGTACATTGTGTTGTGTTGTAAGGATTATAGATGATCACACAGCTTCACTCTGTTGTCATTTTTCTCTTCCCTGGACTTCCCAGAAATGGCCTTTTTGCCTTTGCGGTCCCATATCCATGTCTATGGGTGGAGCATGGGGGTTATTTCTGTTCAAATATTCTGATTTCCTTTGGCTTCATGTTTAACTGCAGACAAGCGAGCGTTTTTATTTTCATGTCTTCGAAATGGAGTGTACTCGCTGAACTGGTCAACAGTCTAGCACAGGTCCAACACAGAGAGGCAGATAAACATTTGCACTCACATTATGTCAATACAGTTAACCAAACATGTACATTTTCAGACTGTGGGAGGAAGCCAGAGTATCTGGAGAAAAGCCACACTAGCACAGGGAAAACATTTAAACTAAGCAAAGAAATGCAGTCGGGTTCAAAAAAAAAGGAGGTCATGAGGGTGACAGACAACCATTATGTACATCTGTGAATTCACTCATGATAGTACGCTTATGGCCATATCACCACGAGCAATCCCGATCTGTTTGTATTTTATATTTTATTATATTTAACAATGTTAACTTTTATCTTTTAAGCTTCATTTGAATTTTAAACTGTGCCAGCAAATCAAAAAGCATGCATTTCTGTGGCTGTCTTATAAAAATTAATTTAGAAGTCAGGATTAGATTTGAAACACACACACACACACACACAAAACACAAAGAAAAATTGACTCTGCAATAATGAAGCTGATCAGCCCCGGTGCATAGCCTCCATAGACAATTTTATGTCAAATGACTTTGCACGCTGTGAAATTCCTGCCCTCCCTAACAGAGATATTAATGTGAGACTGCTGTAAACGGTTTTAGCCAATGAGCAATGAGTTCCTCTGCTTCCAGTGAGTCATAATGTATGTGATTACTTCTGTACAGCAATCTCAGCATTAGGCATTGGAACACATTTTCATTTTAGAGAGGCTTTTGATAAAAAGTTGTCTGAGTCTGTGTAAACAAACAAGTTTGCTGATTTGAGAGCAGAACTGCAAAATGGGAGTTTACATTCGGGCTTGTTAATTAAATGGAAATGTATTTTTTTTAGATAAATCCTAGCTATTACCCAGACTTTATTTTTTCTTTTTATTGCACACAGAATACCTCAACTGACCAGCCAAACAGGACAGAAATCCTAACATTATTACTAGGAATGTGTGCCTTTATTGGTGACTATGCCACCAAAGAGCAGATCATACTTCCAAATATTAATTTTACTAGAATCTAAAAGGTTGGTGAAAACACTTCAACAGCTGCATTAACCTCTCTTTGGGCTATTTCTGCAACCTTTTAAAAAGCAAGCAAAAATGCGTGAGTGTAACATTTTTTTTCTCTAATTATTTCAGTGCATCGTTTAGGCACAAAAAGCACATTCTTAGTCCAACGATTGTTAGATGTACGTTTTTCTGCTTAGGCTAATTAAATCCCGTATGGTAGCATCTCTGGGCAGTGTTACGCAATTACTGCCATGATCGATTGTCCAATGTGCAGCTCTTTTTCCCTAAATGAGATGTGACTTCCTGCTACTGACATTTGCACCCGCCGTGGCAGTGTGTGTGCTGTGTCAGCTGGTCACTAGAGCTGTGTGAATGAGTCATCTGTGTGTGTGTGTGTTTCTTTTTTAACTAACGGAGATAAGAAGTGCCGCACAAATGCATATTTTGACCTTTCAGAGCGACTCCCGTCTCTTGATTGCTGCCTTTCCTGTCGCTGAGGATTGGAGAAGAAACAGTTCTCCTGCTGTTTGCTGCTTGCTCCTCCGGCACACTGTGTACTCACATTAAAACCTCATTACAAGAATGCATGTGTGGCTCTGCATTTAAAACAGGTGAGGTGTCTTATCTATAACGCAGCACGGTGTACAAACCCACCCACACATACTGTAAACACGCCAGCCCTTATTTGTTCATATCTCGTCACACACCGACATCTTCATATCTTTGCAAATACCTTCTATGATTTGCGTGTTTGCTTTTTACCTGCAGAAAAGGGTTTAACAACTCGAACCGCTCAGCTTAAATCAGCTAAAGCAAAGCACCTGGTTTCTTTGCCAGGGATTCTGCTTTAGTCTAATTTAAATTTAGTCTATTTAAAACAAAAAACAATGATAAGCCCAGCTAGTAGTCAATATATATTAACTGAAATGTTCACTTTATTATAGGAGAGAGGTTTAGTGGAATAAACTTTAGAGTGTTAACAGCAGTGATGCAAAAAAAAAAAAAAAAGATTTTGCCCTGGAGGGTGATACAGATGCTCTGCAGAGCTCACGCCAAGAAAAAAAAAAACAGAAAAAAGGATAACCTCTGTGTAAAACACACACTTTATCCTGAGGGTGGAGTGGGAGCCCAAATTTCATGAATCAGTTTGGTTTTCTTTGGTTTTTTCATACACCAGTGAAATTCAAAGAAAACAAATAAACAGGAACTTGACTATCAAATTGTGTTCAAAATAATTAAAAGCCACCCACACCCTTTAACAGTTGGATTTAAATGCATCATGGGTGTTTACATCAGCTAGAACACATCTGCGTTTACACCTGCTTCTGTCAGGTGTCCAAGCTATCCAGATGCCCACTGTTGTTCAGATTTCATAAATATATCATAATCTGTTGCCAGTAAAACACCACATTTGTTCAGAAAATGCAACATACACATACATATATATATATATATATA